GCTACTTTTTTGTTTTAGCATCATTCTTATCGAAGCTTCCAGGGAATCACTTGTTTGATGCAGATCAGTACTAGAGACGAGGACTACCTGGTCGACACTCTGCAACTGTGGCGGCATATGCACGTTTTGAACGACCCTTTCACAGACCCGAACATATTGAAAGTGTTGCACGGCCCCCGTCAGGACATCCAGTGGTTACAGCGCGACTTCAGCATCTACGTGGTGAATATGTTCGATACGGGTCAGGCAATGCGCTACCTCGGCTTTCAGCGACTGTCTCTTGCCTATCTTTTGAAACGTTATTTGGACAAGGATATAGACAAACAGTACCAGTTGGCTGACTGGCGACTTAGGTACAGATTTGTTCAGCGTATCTGTCTTAGCAATCGTATATCACTCCACTCACTCTGCTTATGAATCTGTTTTATGTTGGTGACTTTTCCCTTAAAAAGTCGCTTGCCGAATGCCTGGTGATTTACTTGGTATTATAAAGTAAGCTTGCATTGAAATACTGGGGCTTCTATGTTCGCGTAATTTTTACTAGGCGTTAAGCGCTAAACACTAAGCATATAACAACTTCTCACCGAAGATGAACCATACAAAAATAAGTTTCTAAACTCTTTATCAAATGTAGCGAGTGATGAATGATTTATAGCTTCTTTCACCCAGGTCAAATGCATAGCGATACTATCCACGATACTATCACACGGAAGCGATGATACAGCCTCGCATAGCCTGTTCATGAGAAGGAACACTAACAGCGGGCAAAAGTGCAGCGGGGTTGCAAGTCATAATGCATTGTCTATTGGATCTACCTGATCTTCAGGTTTTACAATGCATTCTCTATTTGCAATAAACATCGTGTTTGACGACTTCCTGAGGAGAACTTATTCTGACGCTATATTATGCTTTTCACTAAATACAGACTATGCTGAATTACATGCAAAAATTGTTCACTGTCTCACATAGCATGTTGTTTCGAAGTGACAGGATAATTGTTGTTCTTACCGGCGGTATCGAAAGTCAGCACCTTGTTGGTAAACGCGTGATACGGGGACTAATTTTGATTGAGTTAGCACACGTTCATTGATGCTGTTACCCTGTGAAATCAGCTTATTTTAGACCTTTACCGGAAGACCTCCAACTTTATGCAAGGGAAGACACGCATTACCTGTTGTACTGTTGTGACATGCTGACCAATGAGCTAATCCAGGCCGGCAACGAACAGAAGAATCTCCTTTTGGAAACGTATCAGCAGAGTCGACAGATATGTCTCATGGTAAATGGTCCATTTTACTGAATCTGCATAATTTTTTTACGTTTTGGTTATGATGCTCCAGCTATTGACCTGGGTGATCGTCTGCATTGGCTTCGTTTCTTTTGTGGTTCAGTTGAGGATGTCGTGGTTCTTCGTCCTTGAGTATAAAAAAATAGACAGCCACACGTTTCTTCAAGTTCGTGATAAACCGGTGCGCGCTCTTCGTGGTCTCTGACAGTTTCAACGATTTCATCCGCATATTTCAAGCAACACTGCACTGATTTTAATCTAGTCGATCGTGTACAACCAAAATAATGCGGGAATGGCGAATAGCCTTGCGGATCCCTGAAAGTGACATGCAGAAGCAGTTAGCCGACTCTACTAAAGCGCATAAAAGGTTTTCCATATAAAGGTACGTAGCAGTTGAAGATTTGATTTTCTTAGTCGGTAGAACATAAGGCTCATAACCAAGAGAAGTCTGAATTTGCTGCGCAACCAACGTTTAACATCACGTTGCTGGTCGTATGGCGAAGATCTTGCCACTGTTTTTCACAAAGAAGCAAATAGAATCTGTCGGCCATCAAAAATCATTTTCATAACTTATAGTATCGTCTGTTGCGACATAACAATAGGTTTCTCTTTAAAAGGTCATTGGTCACTCGAGAACGCCATATCTAAGAATGCAGCTCATTTTGAGTTTGGATTCCTTTGATGGACCACCGGAGTGTGGGCTCATATTGCTACCAATGGGTAGACGACGTGTCCGGAATGATTAGACTGTATCTCTGTAGATCGTGTTGAGAACCGGTTTTAGATCTATAAAGGTATGCGTAAACACGGGTTGCTCAGTCCGTAGAACATCGGACTCAGATCCGAGAGGTCCCAGGTTCGATGTCTGATTGGACCACTCACCTTTCTTCCTTTCGAGGTTGATAAATGAGTTCCGTTCTGTGCAAGGTAAACTAGAGAGTACGCACTATGTTTGCAGCCTAGCTGTTGTCGACTTTGCCCTTAAAATAAGGTACTGCAGGCTGATGCCATAAAAATGCAGATCAGCGCTCCACTCTTAACTTTTTTTGCTAAAATGGCGCCATCATGCAAGTGTAAGGAAGGGCAATGGTTACAACCTTCGTTTTAACTTCTTCGCAAGTAGCAGATGTATGTAGTTCGTTCTGATTGGTATGAGCATCTGAAATATTTAAGGGCAGCTTACTCATTGAAGTTGTATCAAGGAACGTGGCACTGTCAAGCTATTTTGTTCTTGTTCATTTCTACAGTTGTACAAGTGTATGTTTTATCTCGTCCGGTCAAGAAATTATAATAAAAAAAATCTTGAAACTGATCATCCGAAGTGAAAGTGATATGTTGAAACAGATCCAATATTTTCAAATAAAGTGAATTAGCGGAAGAGGTCTTTTCGCTGCAATATAGCTTTCTTTTGATTCCGGCGATGCCGTCGACGCTTAAAGAGAATGAAATAGCACTGTCCTTAATGCAAGTTCTAAAGACATAATTGTAAACGCTATTTACCTCAATTAAGCGAACCATTTCATGTTGGGATTCTGGCTTAGTTCTATGAAGGTTTCGTCAAATTCATTAATGATTGCTCATAGACACCTTAGCAGTGATCACATTTTGTGCTTAAATTGATTCTTCTGTATCTAACAAGTCCTTCTCTGTATGACATAGCTTATAAAATTTATTTACCAGTTCTCAAGCATTTCGATCATGCTCGATCCATCTTCATGGAGAGTTATTATAGAACAGGATGTTATAGTATAAGCTGATACAACCATGTACAGACTTAACTATGCAGGTTGTAGCCTCAATACAGTGAAGATTTTTTTTAAATAAATTCTTTCCAGTGTGAATGTCCATGCCAGCATCTTTGTTCATGCGTTGCTTTAATTGAATTACCTATTCTTCCTCGATTTTTCGGCTTTGAAAATTTCTCTCTTGATGTATTGATTTAATTTTGTCGCAAAATATTCATTGTCGTTTTTGTACTGCATGGGCCACATCTGCAGAATTTGTTTCTCATTCCTTATTCCTCACCTGCGAATTTTTCGTTTGTTTTCGCCCTTTGCTTTTCTGTGCATGTCCATTGTGACATAAATCGGCATTGCGACATCTTGCCATCCAGGTTACTGAGGTTTTCTTTTTTCCTCTCTTCTTTGAAGTTGTCTATTTCTCCTATATCCTATGCAATCGAAATCGCACTTGCAAGGAAGGGTGTAGATCAGGCTTTGTTATTTGGATTTTGGCTCGATGATTTTGACATGCTTTATTAGTTACCGTAATGCTGTTCTGATCTGAATAACAGCGTTATTGGTTGATGTGTATGCGATGCCATTCACACGATATTCGTGGTTCGAATCGAACGGCAAGGATTACTTATGAAACACTTCAACTAGGTCTTGTGCCCATTTCTCATGATTAGTGCGTCTAGATTTTTTTGAATGGCAAGTTGGTAAACAAATTCCTGGCGTTTGTTCGTTCTTTCGTTTTTAACTGACGAATATATCTTGTGAATAATTCACTGGACTTTTTAACATGGGAATTTGTCTTCCGAACTGGATTAAATGAAAAGAATACACCGAGAAAGAAATCTTCTAAGCCGGAGATTAGTTGAAGAAAGCATTGGTAATTCGTTGAAATTGGTGCATGGACATATAACTTAGTTATGGAGGAAGTTTCAGTCTCCAAGTTTAAATCTCCACCCCATATTGAAGTTTGTACCTTCCGCATACATGTACCTTTCCATACTATACTGTAGCATTTTTTTATACTGTTTTTCCTTGAAGAACGTTCGAGCATGATCCGAAACATTTTCAGAATTTGTCTAATGAATTTTACGTGTGGTATCATTCCAAAAAGAACTTGAACTAAATTCCCGCATAAAACAGTCCACATC